GGGGGGATCGCAGGACAGGCAGAGCCGGCAAAAGAAGAGGAAGGAAGGTGGGGAGTGGTGTGTCGGGATCTTTCGTCCGATTTTCTTGTTTCGCTTTTGCTGATATCAAGGTGCTTTATTTGGCGGCGGCTGTGCTTTCTCCTCGGGCTCTCCCCGCCCTGGATGTCCCCAGGCTATGGGAGAAGAAAACAGCGACAAGGGGGGCGGCAGAGGGGGGGGGGAGGGAGGACTGCACGCTGAGTTGGGAAGCCTCTCATCCTGAGGCGCCGGGGTGGACATACTGCGCCATGCCATCCTCGGCTCTGTGATGCGGCCATCGGTGATGTTGCTGCTGCCGCCGCTGCTGCCGCCGCTGCTGCCGCCGCTGATGTTGGGAAGAGGCCTAAAAAGGGTGGAAAGGATGCTGGGAGCGGAGGGCATCGGAGGTGTGGTGATGATCATGCTGCGGGACATGGGGATGTGAAAAAAGAGGGGACGGGTGGCTGGCCATGGACGGATCCGGAGAGTAACCCCCTCCCGGATTGGATCCCGAGCTAGGTGCCGATATGTGCTCGGAGGACTCGGCATAACTTGCGGCAGGGGTGGTGCCCGTGTCACCTGCCGTGCAGCCACCAAGCAAGGGGGGATCCCATATGAAGGGTTTCAGCGGGACATTGTCCGTACTGGTGGCGGAATAGACATTTTGAGTGCCATGGCCTATGGTGCCATTCGTTTGGGAACATGCACTGGCCATTGTTTGTGGCGGCAGGGGGAGGCCGTGGTGCTGGGGATAGTGTGGTGGCAGCCGGGGCTGGTGCTGCTGCATGCTATAGCATGCTTGCTGCTGCTGTTGCTGCTGCTGTTGCTGCTGTTGCTGCTGCTGCTCCTGGCGCTGCCGGTGAAACTGATGATGCTGATGGTGCTGATGGTGCTGGTCATGAGCATGGCGCTGATGGTGCTGGTCATGAGCATGGCGCTGATGGTGCTGATCATGTTGATGATGTTGATGGAGCTGCTGGAGCTGCTGAAGCTGGTGGAGCTGATGGTGATGATGATGGTGGTGGTGGTGGTGGTGGTGCGGAGTGTCGAAGGGATATAGAGGCACTTCGGGAGGCGTATGTTGCTGCTGCTGTAGCTGCTGCTGCTGCTGCTGTTGCTGTTGTTGTTGTTGTTGTTGGGATTCAATGCATATGTGGTCAATCCGGGGAGACAGGGCTGTCGAGCCGGGGTGACCTTCGCCGACGGTCCCACTGGGGGCGTTGACGCCAGGAAGGCGGGAAGCCGGCAGGCTGCGAGGCAAATTGGTGGAGAGGAAGACCACCGGCGAAGGGGACCCCGCGGCATGTGCCGGATCCGAGAGGGAGCTCGGGCTGTGCGAGGATTGGCGACTCGCTGGGGCGCTCGGCCCGTCGACCGGGACGAAATCCGCGGCCCCTGTCCGAGTGGCCGGGTGGGGCAGGGTGCCGGATCTGAAAGGGAGCTCCGGGGCCTGGCCCATCATGCTCGTGTTGATGGGGGTCGGCATGGCACGGCCAAACATGCCACGAGGGGGGAAGGCCATCGGAAAGGGGTGCACCGTGCTCTGCATGTCGCTCGGCCGCCGGAGGTGATCATTCCCCGATGCTGACATCTCCGGCGCCGGGAGCCGCAGTCTCTCGGCCGAGCCCGGAGGGGGGCCACCCGTCAGACTCGATTCGCCATTCGGCGAGTGGGAGCCCCCGGGCCCGCTCAGCGGGCAGGAGTCCACCCGACTGATGCCCCGGGGTGAGAGGGGCCCAACCGGCGACATGGCCCCACCCGGGGTGCTGGGCAGGCTGCGGGTCATCAAATCCAAGGGCTTCATCAGGAGGGGGGTCTGCCGCGCACCGGGACCATGGGAAGGATGAGACAGCGGCCCCGCCGACACAGGCCACAAGCAAATCCACCACGCG